GTGTCGGCTCTAATAGGCATTGAAAGATTTTTATTGATATAGGAATTTTATTATATAATATTAAAATATATTCTCATTTTTCTTGAGATGTTTTTTATAAATGGAAATAATTATAATTTATTTATTATAAATTACAATTTATTTATAAAATGTACAAATTGACAAAATTATGTGTACACCATCGCGAGAGATCCTCTTAGTGCTTCCAAATGTTTTCGTTGTTTATCGTTCCATAAAGCCTAATAACACTCTTAACGTATTTACGATTACGTAGATATATGTGTATGCTCGCGCGCGCGCGTGTGTGTGTGTGTGTATTACGAGTGAATCGATTAAACCATTAAAATTTTTCGAAAAGAAGTATATAAGATGTTAATATGTAAGAATGTATATGTATATAACATATTCGTATGTCATATAAAGACGTCAATAGCGAAAATAATAATAATTATTATTATATTACTACTTATTAGTAATTATTCATTAAAGCAAAGTAAAACCGTTTTTTATGAAAATATACATATATTAAATATTGTATGTGACGATTTCTTCTAGTAAATAAATAAAGAATGTGTTTAGACATTATATTTAAATTATAAAATATATAAAATTATTTTTTTTGGTAATAAATAATTGAAATAAAAATTCAAAAAATGTTTTATCTTTTTCATATTATAATAAACCCATATTAAAAAAGGAAAGTTTTGAAAATTTTTGCGTTCATTGTTTGTAAAGTTTTAGCATTATTGTACTTTTTTGCATAGTAGAAGAAATATATATGTATAGAAAACATTTTTTCTTATGCCAAATATGGCATAATCGTCGTCATTGACGATAACTAAGACAATGATGTGCATTAACACAATTTATAGGGAAAATTAAGTGCGCAAGTTTCAGATAATGCACAGATGTATATTTTCGTTAAAAAAACAAACTTTTTAAATCACATTATTGTAACTTGCAATAATATACAATACATATATATAAACATAATTAATAACATGTACAGTTAACTTTGTATTTAATAAGAGAAACAAATGTAATAAGTTTAAACAATTATTGGAATTATTTAAATAGAAAAGTATATTTGCTACTTTCCATAATGTGTGTGTGTGTATGTGTGTGTGTCCTAAATATATATTCGCATATAAAATTTTCTATTTAGGTATTATGTATTTGTCTTTCTTTGTAAACGTACGTTAAGATAGCATTATTGTATTTTTGAGTTTTTCTTCGCAAACGTTGCTTGAAATCATTACTCGATACGAAATATGTCAAATATATTATAAAATTTACGAAATTGCATCCACAAAGACATCCTATAATCAAAATGTTTATAAAATACGCTATAATAGTACAGTGTCGTACGCGTTATAATACAACAGTAGAACATGTAAGTAGCACTTTAAAGTACATGTTAAAAAATGCAACTTAATGTATATAAAAATTTCAAAAACAGTTAAAATTGTTTGCGTTTTTCTGAACGAATACAATAAGAATTATTAACAAATACGTCTATCCTAATTTAATAAGAGCAAACAAGCAAGCATCCTTTCACTTCCTTATCACACGCAACAACATTATATTATAAAGATAGCAACTATCTTACTTAAGCATAATGTAAATGTTATCAGAAGACATCGCATAAAACAAAGACAAAATGTAATAGTATCCACAATGCACAAGTTCTTTAGTACATTATAATTAATATCGTGTTTTACATATAAAGCTTCTTGAGTTAATCAGTAATATGTTTACGAAACCGTGACAAAAATCCTTCTTGATGGTCCGTTTATCTAAAATTAAAAACAAAATATAATTAATCTTCTAATTATATTTATACATGTAAGAAGAGGAGGAGAGACAGAGAGAGAGAGAGAGAGAGAGAGAGAGAGAGAGAAGAGATTTTTTATTTATTAATTTTAGATTTTTCTTTATTAATTTTACCGTATTTTAATATTTTACATAAATATTTCATTATATAGAGATAAGATATATTTATATACAGTGCCCGCCAAAAATTCTGGGCCGGCTAAATATTTTGGAAAATATGCATTTTTGAGAAAAATATTTTAGACAAAAATTGTAGAATTTAAAAAGATCTATTTAATGATCTTATCAATTTGACCTTACATCGACGTCGCCACTGTCAGATCAAGGTCACATCGATTTTTTAAAATTGGACATCCTATTTTTGATTGCAGAATTTAATAGCCAATGTCAAAAGTTTTTCAAAATGTTACAATATAATTGTTTCAATATAATTGTTTCAAAATATTACAATGAACAAAGTTCATTTTCATTGATCTTAACAAATGTTATCCGGGGCATAATCCGGGGCATAATCCGGGGCATAATCCTGAACAACATTCAAGAGGTCTTAGTCGTCGATCGGCATTTTGAGTAACATTAATAATGGCGATATCAGAATTTTTAAGTCTTATAACTCGAAAAGTACTTAATAAAAATGAACTTTATTGTAGCGTTTTGAAAAGCTTTCGACATTATTAGATTCTGGAATGAAAAATAGGATATTTAATTTTAAAAAATCGGTGTGACTTCAACCTCAACGCCACCTATGGTCAAACTGATAAGAACATTAAATAGATCTTTTTAAACCCTACAATTTTTGTGTAAAACATTTTTCTCAAAAATGCATACTTTTCGAAATATTTAGCCGGCCCGGAACTTTTGGGGGGAGGGGGCACTATATATACATATGTACATTCAGGAAGTGATTCGGAACCTAAAAAAAAAAGAAAGAGAGCTATATAAACCATAGGTCTGGAAATAAGTTCGTTTCCGAGTTATAACCACTTTTATGTTAAAAAAAATTGTAATTTGTTTTTCATAGTTACGATCATAATTTATTTCATACTGTTTTAACATAAATAACTTATATTTCGAACTATTTTGGCGTTACCCAGGATGCACCATGTGGAGGCATAATCCGCTTAGCCCTCTTTTTTATGAAAAAATTTTTTTTACTTTACTAGAGAGATGCCAAGCGGACTAAACGTCAAAATAGTCTCGAAATGTAGTTATTTATGTTAAAACGCTATGAAATAAATTATGATTGTGATTATGAAAAATAAATTACAATTTTTTTTTAACATAAAAGTGGTTATAACACAGAAACGACTTATTTCCGGACCTATATTTATAGCTTTTTTCCTTCTTTTTGGGTCCCGAATC